TACAATATATTTGTGGATATATTTTTTTTGTTTCTTATGTCGTAAATGGACGTAAAAGTTTCATTCAGTCGTCTGTGATTTTCTTATATGTTCAGTCCTTGCCTCTCTGATTAGATTTAACGAGCTGAAGTTGGTTTTGGGTCATAACAGGGAAAAACAACAGATTCACAAGATCACAAACCTTTTGGGTGGAAAGCTTGAGAGGGAGAGGCAGAGAGGGCAGAGGGGAGAAGAGGGTCATAAATGAGCAAGGGGGGTGATGTTGTTTGCTCTCTTTGGAGATCTCTTCTGCAGATTAATTATATAGTTTTGTTGCATGGCATCTGTTTTGTATGAGTTCCTGGACTTTGATTTCATGGGGAGAACATTTTGCATCTTACAATTATTAATTATCAGCAAATTAGGAGTTTTGGACTATTAACTGACCAAAGTTTCCTTAAAACAATGATCATCCTAAACTTCCATCAAATATTGAGGAGACTCAAATTACATCTGAATTTCCTTCAGCAACTTGTTTCTCCAGTCTTTGACAGAGGCCGTGCATAATTAGTGCCAGGAGTGTGAGTGCTGGTGTCAGACCTCTCGGCTTTGGACACAGATGGTGTTCTCCCCTGCAGTGGCACGGGTCACGTTAGCATAGCTAATCACTGTCAGAGAGACACTTCAAATCTGTGCCTGCCAACACGCATACCATACTGACACCAGCCGAGAATCCTCTTGTCTTGTTTTGGAAAATGACTATGATTGAATGACGTTAAAGATCCACAATGGTAATTAATTGACTCTGAGGGCACACAAATAGAAACCTCACGCTGAGCTTGATGAAGCTTATTAAGATCAGCAAACTGAACTTGCACAACAGTCTCCTAAAATTAAGCAAAAAAAAAAAGTCACATTTTAAATATTAAAGCACGATAGGGCAATAGATCGAGAAATAAATAAATAAAATAAATACAATTTAGCCAATCAGTGTCCTCAAATCTTGTCAGAAATGGGCGATTTCTCTGTTGCCACAAAAGAGCCACTGCTAAAAAAACAAACAAAAAAAACATAGAACCATCCTCAAACTTAATCCTGAAATTGGCCACACATAAAAAAAAGGGGTTAAAATTGTACCTTTTGGTGTACAACAGCTTGACACAGTAGCAGTACTTTTAAAATGACATATTTGTACTTTTTTTTTTGTACCCCTAATAGGTACATATTAGTACCTTAGAGTAGTAATTTGTACCCTTAAGGTACTAATTTGTAGGCCTACCTATTAAGCGTAAAAAAGGAACAAATATGTCCTTTTAAGGGTCCTGTTCCAGTGACAAGCTGTTGTACCCCAAAAGGTGCAATTTTGGCCCTTTATTTCCTGTAAATAGCCTATACAGCCACAACAATTTCTGAAACCACAGACAACCCTATTCCTAGTGATGATGGTGTTTTGCCTGCCGAATTCACCATTTTATTAGCTATTGAGCAAACAAAAAACTGGTGATAGTACTGAAGGACCTTATATGTGATTGCTGTGATAGGTGTCACATCCCTATAGGTAGACTTGGATCAACTGAGAGTCAGCTGATGCGAGCTTGACTAATGTGACCTGCCAGAACTGACGCTAAGCTGTGATTTATTTCGATGTGTTGACTAACATACTAACATGCAAAAGAAGCACTTGATTATGATTTTTAACTCTGTGTTATTCAATATTATATTTAAAGTAAACATATTTCAAATGTGCCAAATTGCAACTTCATCATTACTGTACATATGTGTAATTACAAATATATTCAAATGCATGACAAACAAGCTGCGCTAGAAATTACATTAATGTATAATTTAGTTGATCACAAATGTTTGTCAATACATTCAGCAGTACACTGTAAGCATATTTCTAAGATATATAAATAATTATGAAATAGTAATTATGAAAAAAAGATATTATAGATATTATAAATATACACTTTTTTACAGTAATTGTAATGAACTTGCAGTTTAGTGTCTGAAAATATTATGTTCAATTTGCACTTAAATATAACTTTCTATCAAAGAATATAATTTCTGTAATAAGCTGATCCACTAAAAGTATGCTAAAAAGTGTACTTATTTTTCACAAGGTCAAACTTATTGCAAGATGTCTTTCTATAGATTGGGCTCAAAGATAGCAAACAATATGTAACCAAATATGTAGAAGAGCAAGAAGATTTTCAGTATACAAGCACCTATATTTCGTATGACTTCAGAATAAAGCACATATGTCATATGGACTATTTTAATTGTACATTTATGATGCTATTTTATCATTTTACAGGGCTTGACAGCCTTTAGTCAAAATATAATTTTGGTGAATGAGAACGAAAGGTTGCACTAGCCTCAAAAGTTCTACACCAGCTGAATGCATGTCAGGCTGGCATCTCTGACCATAAAATTGGCATAAGCAGCTCCCCTCCCTCAACCTTTCTGAGTCTTAATCTACTTAAGAGACCAACCCCGCATGTAAATCCATACAAATGTGCAGCGAGAATTGTGTGGAAAGCAAAATCACAAGCCATGAGAGAAAATTAGAAATTCTCCACGCAGAATGCCGTGTCAGGCGCAGCGGTATTAACGTATCATACTGACCCCATCTCATGTAATTTTTGACCGTGCGCTTGATTCATTTGGTGCCTTTTTATTTCTGGAAAGGCCTAATCTACTCGTAGCGGCCTGGTGAACTCTCACTTCCTCTCGCTTTAATTGAGTTCCAGCTCTGCGCCAGAGTTCGTCCCATTAGCCTGTTTGTTATCCTCAATGGATGCAAGGATAAAAAAAAATAAAATCTGTGCTGAAGGCAATTTTTCGTGGGCAGTAATTAAAGGTCCTGGAAAGATTTTATTTCAAGGAGCCCAAGAAAGTGAGCTGGAGTGGTGAGGAGTTTAGAAATCAAGGCTAAAATGGATTCTTTTCACGCTTCTCTATTTTAGCTTTCCAACCCGGCAGACAACGCATTCACTCGGGTTTAATTTCAGGGTGGAGACTCGCGCTGGTAAATTGTGGCTGAGCACTGAGGCTAATGGGATGGGATGTTTTTAAGCTCTGACTTGATTGGGAATCAGTGGTGTGTGCTGAATTTATGAAATGATGAGGTAAAGTTGCCTCTGTGTTGGGTTTTTAGTTCTACTGTATTTAAATTCATGGTGCATTTACTGTAACTTTGACGTTTGCACAGTGTTACTGGAACACCAATTACATTATACTACCAATACACAACCAATACTATTATACTTATAATTATTTTATATTAAAATATTATTTTTTACAACAAAGTCACAAAATTACAAAACACTGTTTTTTCCAACCATAAATCACCAGATTCTCTGTTAATGATGGTCGCACACAGTTTAATTGAGTTTAGTGCTCACTAAAAAACAGCTCACTTGTAGATCAAGTTCATTTTGATTTGAACATGAGGTTCACTTTGTAATTAGTTTGTCCATTTCCACTAGTTTGGCTCATTCGGGCTGATTTGCAGAGCACTGTGAGCATGAGAGGTGAGCATTATCAAATCTGCAAGCGTAATGAGCCAGTCACAGCGTCATAGAGGACTCCTCTCGTTGACTTTTCACCTGTATTTCATTCTGTATTTTTCTCGTTCACATTCACAGCACACACAGCAAGGAAGGAAAGAGCATTTTAGCTCATGTTTCTTAACCCTGTAAAGCTTGAAATAGAATAATAATCACATAAAACTTGGTAACACTTTAATATAGAGACTAGTTCTAATTATTAACTAGTTGCTTATAGCATGCCTGTTATTAACATATTGGTTGTTTATTAATACTTATAAAGCACAAATTCTGCATGACCAAATTCTACATCCCTAATGCTACCCAATACTTAATCTAAAGTACTAAATTAAGCAGTGAATTGGGAATTTATGTAGGCAAAATTCATAGTTAATTGTTTGTTATTAGCGAGAATTGGGTCTTTAAAATAGTGACCAAACTTTTTTTTTATTTTTTTTTTACTAATTCATTTCACAATTATTTGTATAGTGCTTTTCACTGTACAAATTGATACAAATGTTTAAAAAATCCATCCAGTTAAGTAATGACATGTATTCAAACAAACGGTTGCGATAAAAAAAAAAAAAAATGGTAGTTTGGTGGTACTGGTGTCTCTATTAAATACATTTTTCCTAAATTTTAGGCATTCAACATCACAGTAAAGCCATTTTTTGTAACACTTGAATTAGGCTTTTAAAATATAACAACTTTTAATTTAAACTGTAAATTGTATATGCATAAATTATATAATGAATATAGATTAATCTTTATTCAAGCAACAGAAGCAAACAGAGCAATGAGTAATTTCTCTTTTTCTTTTGTTCTTTGATGTACATCAGTGAAAGACTGCAGCAGGTCTTTAAAAGCAGTGCTGTATTTTTAAAGCCTGATGCACATGACGTGGATTTGACACTTATCTGATTTTCTTCCAACTCTTTTCTTGCATGTAAGACTTTTTAAAAACGGGCATTTTGACATAATTTTGTGTATTTTTGTTTATTAGAGCGTGAAAGTGAACTCAATGCGGTACTGAAGTGGATTACTGTGCTTGTGCACGTGTCGTATGCCTGTATTCACAGAAATCTGCTTCACAGACAGCGCTCCAGTAGTAAATTAAGTTATATTTTGTTCTATCGTGCTTGATAGCGTGTTCATATAGTCTACTGTAACACTAGCCAAAGGATGTCAGGAAAAAAAGGAAGCTGCATTAATTGAGTTAAATATTTGTAATGTGTTAAACTGCGGGACATTTTTTTCAGTGTACTGGTACCGAATTAAGTTACATTTAGTGTTCCATCATGCTTGATAGCGTGTTCATATAGTCTATGCTAGGGATGGCAGGAAAATAATTAAATCACGAATGATTGGCATCGGTGGTTCATTTGACAGAAATACGGGATACTCCTGATCATGAGCAACCCCAACATCAGATGATGTTTGAGCGTGTCACTGGGTCAGTGCATTGCAAACCTCTGGTGTGAGCAGGTCCTCTCTTACGGCCAGTGGAGGAGCTGTGTGCAACGTTCTGGAAGTGTGTTATTTCCATAGTGGTGTTGGTCCGGAAACTCTCCTTAAACCTTTGCATCAGGGCCTCTACGCTCTCCTTATCGGGGTCCGGCGCTGAAACAAACACACACACAAACCCGTGAGACACCGGAATACACACACCTCTGCTGAAAGGCATTAGAGGGCAGCGCATGATTAACTACATGAGCGGAAATGCTGAAGTCATGCTTATCTATTCCTGTGTAAAAAAAGATAAATGAGTATAAAGGCTGTGAGATGATATACTCAGTAAACGCTTTGTCCTTAAAAGAGAAATGAGGGCATAGGAGTTATGCACAACATCTAGAACTTCATTTATCCTGTCTTTAACACGTTCTCCTTTCCTGTCCACTGTCTTATCGCTCCACATCACCTCTTTGCTCTTATCATGAACAGACAAGCTTTGATGAGTGCATTTTGGAAAGAAGGTAAGAGAGTGTGGAAAAAGTTCAGGGAAGAGAGTTTCCTCTTCAGCAGTTTGCTCTAATAAAATACCTTTTGTTCTCAGGAAAGGACGTGACGTGTGGCCCACACTTGGAATTTGTGCTCTGCATTTAACCCATCCAAGGGCACACACACAGCAGTGAGTAATGAACAAACACGCACACACACACACACAGTGAACACACACCCAGAGCAGTGGGCAGCATTTCAGTGCTTGCTCAAGGGTCTCACCTCAGTCGTGGTATTGAAGGTGGAGAGAGTGCTGGTTATTCACTCCCCCCACCAACAATTCCTGCCGGACCTGAGACTCGAACTCGCGACCTTTGGGTTACAAGTCCGACTCTCTATCCATTAAGCCATCCATGAGAATAAAAGTCATGGCATGCCACGATGCTCTCGAGATTGTTTCCTCATGTAGAGTCAAATCTCTGCAGAAACAGTCCTTGAAAAAATTCCAAAAGGCCCAAAATATATTTAATGGCTATGAATTACTACCTTTTGCAGGTTGTGTGTTGACAACCTTGACTGTGCTTGTTGAACATGTAAACTAAAATATACTTTAATGTCATTTATACTGAAACTTGTATTTTATGTTTTGAAATAAGTGTGTAATTACACATTTGTAATGGTAAAGTTGCAATTTGGAACATTTAAATTACACATTGTTTTAATGTGATATTGAATAACACACTACAAATTACAAACTACAGTTCACTACAGTTAAAACGAATCAAGTACTTTACATGTGCTTTAGTATGATAAACTTGACAAAAGATTCCTAAAACAATGACTTTAAAAAGTTTTAATTGATTTAATTGAATTATTACAAAATGCAAGTTTGCAAAAAAACTAAAGTTTTTTTTCAATGTGTAGTTAAGGTTTTTCCAATGCCACACTGACAGCGACTAATCTCTACAATGCAAGTCTAAACGATTGGTTTTGTAAATCTGTTAGTTATGTGTGTAGATAAAACAGGGGTGTTGTAATGTGGGGTTTGGTGTTTGGGTTTTGTTTCACGTTCATGTTTTCCATGTCTTTTATTTTTGTAATTGTTTCATGCTGTCAGTGTCATGCTTCCCTTGCCTTCATGTATTCATGCCATTGGTTCCTCTGTTCATTGTGTCATGTTCTGATTGGTTGTCTTAGTCATGTGTCTTGTTTCCCATTGGTTTGTTCTTGTCATGTGACCCTCATTGTCTGATATAAGTAGCCATCATGTTCCCATAGTTCTTTGTCATGCATTGATCTTGTAACCCGCTGTCGGTGAGTCTAGTCTATTTTAGTCAAGTCTGTTCATGCCTCGTCAAGTCTGTTCATGTCAAGTCAAGTCTCGGATTATTGTTTGGATGTTTGGATCACCTGTAAATAAACTGCACTTGGGTTCTCACTTCAACTCGCCTTCAGTGGATTGATCGTTACAGAATACACGACAGAAAAAATGAAACCAGCAGATCATCTTGTTCGCCTCCGTCAGGGTAATCGCTCCATTGAGGAATATGTGGAGGACTTTTTTGTGGGCTTTGTCACCAAGTGGATTTTAATGAAACACTCCTTAAGGACATTTTCCGTTATGGTTTGGACAAAAATATATCTTGTTTAATGGCGCGCAATACCCCTCAATGGACTCTTAAAAATACATTGACTTTGCTTTGTTGCTGGCTGGTTCACTATTTACTGTGGGGGATGCTGAGGAGGAACACTGCTATCCTACAGTACCCGCCACATCAGACCTTTTCCACGTCCCGACCATCATGTCAGGAGTTGTTCACGTCATGCCTGCAGAGCCAAAGCCTGCCCACATCATGTCTGCTACGCCAAAGCCTGCTAACGTCACGCTTGCTACTCCAGGACCTGCTCACATCATGCCAGTTAAGTCAAAGTTTACTCATGCCTTATCTACCAAGTCACAACCTGTTCACTTCATGTCTGCCAAGCCAGAGTCTGCTAACGTCATGTCTACTACCCCAGGGCCTGCTCACAACATGTCTGCCAAGCCAGAGCTTGCTCACGTCATGCCGGCACATCAAGAGATTCAACCGGCCAAGATGGCCGCCACGCCTGAGTCCCCGGCCAAGATGGCCACCATGCCCGAGTCGGACGCGGCGCTTGGGCTTGGACTGAAAGGTCTGATTGCTAGTGTGATGGACTCACCTCTACCAAGCCAGAGCTTGCTCACGTCATGCCGGCACATCAAGAGATTCAACCGGCCAAGATGGCCGCCACGCCTGAGTCCCCGGCCAAGATGGCCACCATGCCCGAGTCGGACGCGGCGCTTGGGCTTGGACTGAAAGGTCTGATTGCTAGTGTGATGGACTCACCTCTAATGTCGGTGCGAGCTGCGGGCATCCCCATAACATCAGTGCTCTCAAGCCCAACCGTCCTAAAGGTCCTGCCGCCCTTACTGTAATGGCGGTCGCCATTTTAAGCGTGTGGGCTGTACACTGCACTCCTGAGGCCTCTCCTGTCCACGAGTCTGCTCCTGAGGCCTCTCCTGTCCACGAGTCTGCCTCAGAGGACTCTTCTATCTATGAACCTGCCCCAGAAGCCTCTCCTGCCTATGAGTTTGTCTCAGAGGCCTCTCCTATCCATGAGTCTGCTCCAAAGGCCTCGCCTGTCCATGAATCCAATCCAGTGCCTCCAGAAGTGGTAGCTTCCGCTGCAGAACCTCCAGAGGTGGCGGCATCCACTGCAGAACCTCCTGAGGTGGTGGCGTCCACTTCCGAACTCACTGCCTTGCCTGTCACAGCCACAGAGGCCGTTCACAAACTCACTGTCTGCCCTGTCACGGACACAGAGGCTGTTCACAAACTCACTGTCTGTCTTGTTACGGCCACGGAGGCCGTTCATGAACTCACTGTCTGTCCTGCCACGGCCAAGGAGGCCATTCAAGAACTCTCTGCTTGCTCTGTCACAGTCAAGTGGTCTGTCCATGTCTCTGCTCCACCATGGCTTCCTGCTCTGCCATCATCAACCGGCCGTCCTGCTCTGCCTGCACCGCCATGGCTGCCTGTTCTGCCTGCTCTGCCATTACTCCCTGATCTGCCTGCACCGCCATGGCTGCCTGATCTGCCTGCTCCGCCATGGCCCCCCTCTGTCTGTTCCGCCATGGCCCCTCACTCTGCCTGCTCTGTCATGGCTCCCTGCTCTGCCTGTTCCTCTTCACGGGCCTGGCCCTCCATCCCTCCTCCAGTTCCGCCTCCACTCCACCACCCTTCTGGACTTGTTGGGTTTTGTTTGTTTTGTTTGTCTGGAGCCGCCCTTAGAGGGGGGGATATGTAATGTGGGGTTTGGTGTTCGGGTTTTGTTTCATGTTCATGTTTTCCATGTATTTTATTTTGTAATTGTTTCATGCTGTCAGTGTCATGCTTCCCTATTCATGCCATTTGGTTCCTATGTTCATTGTGTCATGTTCTGATTGGTTGTCTTAGTCATGTGTCTTGTTTCCCATTGGTTTGTTCTTGTCATGTGACCCTCATTGTCTGATTTAAGTAGCCATCATGTTCCCATAGTTCTTCGTCGTGTATTGATGTTGTAACCCGCTGTTGGTGAGTCTAGTCTGTTTTAGTCAAGTCTGTTCATGTCAAGTCAAGTCTCGGATTATTGTTTGGATGTTTTGATCACCTGTAAATAAACTGCACTTGGGTTCTCACTTCAACTCGCCTTCAGTGGATTGATCGTTACAGGTGTCCACATACAGTACTCTTGGCCATAAACCTATATTTTGCATTATTTCAGGGTCAGAGAACTACAGAAGTCAGACTATTATCTTGACAATTTAACTAAAACCATGTGAGGCCAAATGGTGGGTAATTCTTAAAGTGTTTTATTAGCTTGCCAAAGAAATAATAAATAAATAAATAAAACTGTCTCTAGGATACACATGTAACCCTAGTTCACAGAGGGAACGAGATGCTGCATCGAATGCTTTGGGAATGCCTTCAGCGTCACCACGCTCTGAATCACAGGAGCCAGGAGTGGCGCAAAATGCAGGTATATAATCTGACAAGTAAACAGAGTGGACATCTCCCACCGTTCTGAAGGCCAACTTCTGCAGGAGTGAGCCTTGACCCCCCAGGGAGAGGGGAGATCATCCCGATCCACCACTTAGCATAAGTTTTAGCATATATTTGGTTGAAACTCCGACCACCAAGAAAGACCGACCACCAAGAGGGGTGTGGTAAGCAGCTAGGGCCGCCACAGAAACCTTCAAGGTGGAGTGGGATAACCCTGCAGAGAACTGTATCTGCAAGAACTCCAGCACTGAACCAACTGGGCAGTTAACTGGGTCAAGCTGGCGGTTGCCGCGTCAAGAAGTGAAGGTTCACTTCAAGGAGTACACTTTCCTCGTGGAGGGAGATCTGGACTGGAGAATGGTCTCAGCAACCTCAGTTGAGAGACCGGAACTTATGAGCGGTGCCCCCTGAGGGGCCACATCCACAGTTCCAAAAACTCTGGGCAGGGGGAAGGCCCCGCCTGAGAGAGGAGATCCCCCCCTGACGGAAATCTACCATGGAAAGCCGTCTAGAAGGGAAATCAGGTCCAGGAAGCGTACTCGGCCCAGCCTGACCAGCGCTACCCGTCCGGCGCATTCTCTCTAGAACTCAAAGCCTTGGCCAAGTCTGTTTTCAGATGAGCTCCACCACCTCGGGGTGGAGCCTCCAACCCCCCGGGGCTCTGGTGAGCGAAGGCCTCAATAACTCGCTTTTGCGAGAGGAGACTTGACGACACTCTCAGAAATGGTCGAGCTCTTGGAGCGGAGGCCTCAGCATGACAACTCTCTAAACCGAGAGGAGGCCTAACTACACTCCACCCATCCGGACATCTTGTAAGGAGGTTCACCTAGAGCCTACCATTTACAGATGCTGTTTTAGCGGAGCAGAGGCCTCAGCATGACAACTCTCCAACGAGAGGAGGCCTGACTACACTACACACTCCGGACATCCTGTAAGGAGGCTCACATAGATACCACCACTCACAGATACTGTCCTAGCGGAGCTCTGGCGAGCGGAGGCATCAAAAACTCTCCGTAGCGAGAGGAGATCTAACAACGCTTTCAGTGACTGAAAGGTTGGCCCACACAAGGATCTGGTGTGCCAGCCTGTAAAGGGGGTGTGAACAAAGACCTCCCTGGTGGTTGATGTAAGAAACCACCACTGTGTTGTCGGTACACCCAACACACGGTGGCCTCTTAGGTCCGGGAGGACGTGTTTTAATGCTATAAACACGACCAGCATCTCCAGGCAGTATATGTGCCACATGAGATGGCGGCCGCTCTACAGACCGAGGGCTGGTCAGCCACTCATGACCACACCCAACCAGTGAGAGAGGCATCCGTCGTTAGCATACGCGACAAAAAGGAGTCCCCAACACCGGGCACTGAGAGAAGAACCAAGGCTTTCTCCACATGTATAAGGCACGAAAGCAACGCAGTTTCTGAAACTGCTTGACAGTGAGTGACCAGCCTTCTCTCACTCTTGCGACTGCTATGAGGATCGACTCGATCCGAGCAGGAGACAAATGTGCCTGCATCACGGTCGAATCCCACACCACGGCCAGATAAGTGGTTCTCTGTAACGGAGAAAGAACACTTCTTGGCGTTCAGTCTTAACCCCATCTCTTTCATATGGGCGAGAATGACATCTCGATTCCGAACCACCATCTGCTCCGATTGAGCCAATATCAACCAATCGTCTATATAATTCAGTATGCAGATACCCTGGAGTCACAGTGGAGCCAGAACAGCATCCACATACTTGGGGAAAGTGTGGGTGAGAGTGCAATAAATGGCTGCGAAAGGAAGAACTGACTGTGCGAGCGCCGCTCCCAAAAAAACAACACATAAATTGTGTGTATCTCCACCCGTAACGTAGCGTGGGCAAGGAGGAACACACAGTCTAAAATGCTGTCTGCTCTCGCCCTTATATGCTTGTCTTTCGCCTTTGACATGGCTTTTTGAAATGCTTTTACTGGGACAGACAACAATACATAGAACTGGCACACACAGAGCGATTCGCTGAATGACAGAAGCTGCCGCTGTAACCACCGCACGTGCTTTTAAGCTCCCTGGTCTCTACGTCACCCCGCCCGTGACGTCTCGCCCATTCATTGGACTGATTACACAGGTGATTCAGAGCATGGTCACGCTGAAGGCATTCCCAAAGCGTTCGATTCAGCTTGAGTTCCTGAAGGGGAAATTAAATTTCCACACAGATGGAGAGCATGTGTTGGAGTTCATGCGGGTCACTGCATGATTTTAGTAAAATCAACAGTACTTCCAAACAGGGGGCCAAAGCAAAAACGGACAGGCGGTGTGATGCCCACAATGCTGCAATGTTTGTATTGTATTTCCAACTGCCAGGAAATCAGAGTGCCTCAGGGGACACCGCTGACCCATCTCAACATGTTCTGGCCCATTTGGACCACAGCAAAGGCATAATATATAAAAATAGACGTCCCCTCTTATTGTCTGCTGCAGGAGTGGGCTGAGGTGAAACAGAGAGATGGAGTGGGATGAGATGCCTCAAAAAGTCACAAACAGTTTATCTCCCAGCTTCATTATAAAGACACATCGCTACTCCCTACTGCCGGTGCTGCATCACAACTTCAATTAACTTGAGATATGAAGAGGGCCACTCTCTCCGCGGAGGCATAATGGCTCTGGACAGGGGTGATTTCCTTACCATATCATGTGGCTTTATGTTGAAGGCCCCCTGCTGGGGAAGTTTGCAGATGGATGAGGCCGAGGTCCCTGTAGCGAGCGACTGTTTTTTTTATTTTGCTGAGTTTCACTAGTGTGTGTCATTGTCTAATTAGCAGCTGTGAGTTTAATGTAAGTGTCACACTTAGGTGTGAATACTGTTCTAAAGATCAGTGTGGAAACACCTGTTGTGAAAGCATCTCATCGCTGCACTACAGAATAAGTTGCCTGCTGTTTTTATTTTGCATGAGGCAGCCAGCAAAC